TGCTTATTCATTCTGTTCAGCAGTATAGTCAGTTACCAGAAACCTGTACTTGTCAGTCTTTTCCATGAACTCCTTGAAGATGAAACCCTTTTATAGGAACATTTTTGCAAAAGCAGCAGAGTACACCCAGAACTGTCTGTAAATGACAAAAGACTTAAAAATGACCATGGTTAAAGATTTGATGAAAATTCATAATAATGCAATTGACAAGGAAATTTAGTTATTTCTGAGATATACATTTTAAAGTAATAACTAGAAATGTGACTGATAGCATTATACCAGAACATATAAGATTTTTAGGAATTTCATGTAATGTCCATCTAGTGGGTTTTTGGGCAGCTGGGAGTTGCCCTTAAAGATAGTGGAGAGAAATGCCTGAATGGGAAGACAGAAGCTATCCTTTCCCAGCATTGAGTTGTATTAAGTTTGCTCTAGAATATCCATGATATTTTATTTCTAGAATAAAGAAATCCAAAATCTAGTCGAACATAATACTTTTATGAAAACCCTAAATAACTGAACTCTGTATGCTGCATACGGTTATGGTTGTGCAGCCTTTTTGTCTCAGTCCCGTGTACCTTATTAGTTCTGCTTAGTGCTTCAGAAGGTGTGTACAGCCTTCTAAGGATACAGGGAAAACTAGAACAAAAGAGAATATGGGTCTGCCCGCAAATTCATAGGTAATTCCTTTCCTGGGATAGATGTAAATTTTTTTCACTTAATAAACATTCTTTTCTACCTTCTAGTGGGCTAAACCAGTATCTTCACTATCTAAGCACAGAACTTAATATGACAAAATAAGACGGTAATTGCTACTGATTTTTGAAAACAATATTTACTTTAGCTTAAAGAACTCCTGAAGAGTTCCTTCATATGCACCTTTTGGTATGTTTCAGGTTATCATACTCATATTGAGGTATCATTTCAGAACCAGTAGGGAGAAGTAAACTTACATGACCAGTACTGACCCAAATAAATCATATGTTGGTCTGTACTGTTTATTGGCCTCACTTAGACCTTTTAACCCGGCAAAAGATGAGGAGAAAGACAGATTCCTGTCACAATGGATGATCCTCTAGAGATTCTTAGCTGAACCTTCAGTCAGGTGTGACTGTCATTGCCTGGCTTAGGTCCACAGCTGCCGGGCACTGCACACGTTCAGAGAAACCATTTGCTAGTAGTTGAAATTGTCTTGAAGTAATTCTTTTGGGTGGGCATTAAGTGAAACGATTTAAAGTTGGAGAGACACAACCAAAGCAACTTGCCCCAAACTAGTGATTACAAATCCCTTTATTCGCTTCTTAGTGAAGACAAAAAAGTAAATGAGTAAGTAGGGCATATTTTTTAAATTGATAATTCATATTTTGCCTACTTTTAAAACGATTAGTGGTGGTTTAAAGGATTAAAGCACATGTAAAACAGTGAATCAAAGACAGAAAGTAGTTTTCGATGTTTTATCTGTTTGTTTTTAATTATGGTGCTGTCTCAACAAAAACCTAGAATAAAGTTCGTTGTTACCATTCAGTGTTAAATTGAGCTGCAAATTTCCTGGCGGCTGAGGGCAAAGGGAAGCATCGTTATATAGTTCTCCTGCAGGAAAAGGAGGCAGGAGAGTTCATCTGAAAAACCAGACTGTGCTGGCATTGAAGTCCTGCTGAGGAATCTGAGGATAGACTGGGCGTTGTGTCTTTGTTGCAGAGAGAACGGGAATGTTCTCCACACAGATGCTTTATATTGGCCGTGTAACGTTGAATCTTAACTCCCCACCGCATCATGCCTCACCCACACACACAGCATCTGTGGGGCCTGTGGGTGTAATATACAGTCACTTGTGGTTGGATTATCTCATAAGGGTCAGAGCATCACTGTTAGGTGAAGATGCCGGACCCGTCAGCAGCAGGTGGTGTGGTGCTCGGTCGCAAACACTTAGCAGCCTGCCTCGTGTTCTTGTACCCGCTGAGGTTAGCTCCCAGGGGTCCTGCAGGTGGGGACAAATGGTTTTTGTCAATAAAGAGTTTTGAATCCACTCAACTGTTAGGAAATATATACTTAATTAGGCCTTAAAGTAATGAAGAAACTATTTCATTCTGACCATTTTTAAGAGCATCCACCAACCGGATACCTCATTTTGAGGAGAGCTGACCCTGTCATCTCACCGAGATGCAGTAGCTGCAGAAAGTAGCCCCTGTCCGAGTTGGGTGGCAGGGTTTCATACTCGCCCACTGAGTCTGGATGAGTGCTTGTCACCTGTCAGCAGTGTGAGGTGGGTTTTGGGGCCCACTTTCTAACTTGCACCTCTTGTTTTCTCTCAGGCCTCCTACCCCAGAAGCACACACACAAGGAGCAATAAAGTACCACTTCTCACAGTCGCCAGTTAGGCATCCATAACCTCTCCACCACCTTCCTGCCCGTGATGGAACTTAGGTGGAGAACAAGCTTATGCAGAGAGTCCAAGCGGGACTTCCTGCTTCCCTTCCAGGTCTGAAACTTCGTAACAGAACTTGTGTGTTTGGGGATGGCAGCTTGAGATAGATGGTTAGGGCTTCGGAAGGCACCCCAGGTTTACTTTTCCAGCCAGCCATGGCCAACCCTTCTTGGGGGGAAAGGATGCACAGGGACACTAGGCCTCTTCTTACCCCCTGGAGTCAGGACATGAAGACCCGGGCAAGAAAGCTTGTCACATAAGAGCACTGGCCAGCCTCTCATGGTCATTGTCATATCCTTAGCAGGCTGATCTTCTAATTTCTAGTTCATTGTTGATGATTAGAATTTAACCTGTCAAATGACTTTCCTCACTTGCTCTAATTTGGGCCTTCAAATTATGTATCTCTAGAAGTATCAGTAGCCTAGGAGCCATAGATTATATACAGAAAAAAATTGTTCAGTGGTAGCTGTGTTCAAAAGAAGTTTGTGTATTCATGGATTGCAAAAAGCAGCCAGTTTTCTAAAGTATGCCAAAAGCCATAAAAATAAAATAATGCACGTGTGTCCTTTGAAAACCAGTAAGCTCATATCTGGAAATTTAACATCAGGAGATGATCTTACATACCTCATGTTTTATAATAGTGAAAATTGGAAACTAAGTGTCTAAGAACAGGGGATTTGTAATTAATGCAGCCTGTCATTTAAGGTAATTATGCCTGGAGTGTCTGTGTTATAAGAAGGACAGGAGATCATTGTCAACTTCCCTGAACTATGTTCCTTTTGTTTGTTTTTCAGTGAGTGGAACAGGGTGGCCCAGTGGTCAGTTGTGAGGTAGACATTTGTAAATCTCCCATTTTTCACGGACGGACAAGAGGTTAGAATGACAGATCCAGTCTTTGGCATGTTGAGAAAAAAGTTGGAATAGAGTTTGGAAGGGTGGCTTTCAGGCCAAATGGACCTATTATTTGCAAAAGAAAAAAAATGTGTTTAGCTTCTTAGAAGTAAACAACACTCGATGTGTTCTGAAGGATTAATGTACTTGGCAAGGATTAGTACCCACGCCGTGAACATGCCATGACTTGGTCACATGTGACCTCTTGGGGACTTTTTGCTTTTAAATTTCAATGAGACATACACTTTTTTTTTTTTTTTTTTTTTTTTTTTTTACATACACTTTTTTTTTTTTTTTTACTTTTAAGGTAGTTATAGATTCACATGCAGTTGCAAATAATAATGCAGAGAGATCCCTTGTACCTTTTACCCAATTTTCCCCAATAACATGTTGCAAAACTGCAGTACAGCATCACAACCAGGATACTGATGTTGATGCAGTCAAGACACAGGGATCCCTTATGGGCCCTTTTCTAGCCACACCCGCTTCCCTCCCACTCCCCCTCTCCCCCCAGCCTAAACCCCGGAGGAGGTTTAATCATTTCTCCAGTCTTATGATTTTGTCACTTCAAGAGTGTTATGTAAATGGAGTGAAGCGTGATTCTGGATTGAAACCTGGGTAAGTTGTCATGAAGGATTGAGATGGAGAAGCTTCTGGACTTGGGGCAGCAAGTCTCAGAGCAGGTCATGCTGTTGGTGTATTTCACTGTTCAGAAAGGCCCAAAACTCAACTAATGCGGCTCAGCAGACACTGGCTCTGAGCACTTGCTGCATGCTGAGCCTTGTAAGGCACTGAGGATGGAGAGCTCAGTGCGGCCTAATCTCTGCCCTTCAGGTGCTAAGACTGTACAAGGAATAGAGCCTAGGGGTGAGTGTTGACCGCAGTAGGTCAGCTAGCATCCTCAGCCAGGAGTCTGCTCGCCGATGGTGGGAGGGGGTAGACGTAGGGTGAGTGGCCTCCGGGACAGTTTCTCCAGGCAGTGGTGTGAAGCCTGAGGAACCTGTCATTCATGTTGGGTATATTTCTCCTTTGGTCACTGCTGGAAACATACTCTGAGTTTACTAAGCTGCTTCTCCCTTCAGCTTGTACCGTCTTTACTTGGATGGGTTCATTTTCTACTACTGATCATGCTTCAGTTAAGTCATGGTTCCCATAAGGCTAGGAGACCTCCAGTCTCCTCCACTGTGTATTGAGTTAATTTATCTTTGAGAGGGCAGTCTCCCTCAGAATTCCTGTGCCCACTTCCAGGTTCCTACTCTTGGCTTCTGTGCCCAGCAACAGCACGGGGGTGTGAACTGGTAGCTTGGCCTCTGGAAACTGAACGTTCCACGATGGGCCAAGGGCTAAGGAAGGGCTCGGGACAAGGCTAGAGCAGACCTGGAGAGATAGATGGGTCCAGACTGTAAAGGAGTTTGAACATTATCCTATAGAAAACAGGGAGAATCAAGTTTTTGTATTTAAGAAGTGTTTCAAAAGGAAAGTAATGCTGTTGGCAGGGTGGAAGGTATAAGGAGAGACAACAGGAAGATGGGGCCGTTACAGTAGGCCAGGCACAGGTCAAGTCCTGAGCTTGAGGAAGTGGCAGTGGGAGTGAGGTAAGAAAGGAATTAGAGGTTTTAGAGGTAGAATCCATTTGAGTGACTACTTGATGGTGGAATTGGGCTTTTTGGATCATTTCATCCAGGTGGCTCGGAATTGCCCAAATTCTGCTGTACTTCAGGTACCTTTCCTCCTGAGACTCCCACGGGATATACACACACAGGGCTCACGAGAAACCGGAAACAAGGCAGCCGATCCTGTGCCTGCAGTGCCCAGCTCAGGTCTCCTACATATGTGTGGAATTTACAGCCCAAGCCAAGGATTCTGAGATCAGCCCTACATTCGAGTCCCCAAGAGGGCTTGTTGACACCGATTGCCGGGTCCCCCTCCCCCCGGGTTTGGCTCAGTACACCTAGAGAGGGGCCTGGGAATCTGCATTCCCATCAAGTTCCCAGGTGATGCTGATCCTGCTGGTCTGGGAAAACACTTTAAGAACCGGGGGCCCTGAGGAAGAGTAGAGACCCGTGGGAGCAAGCTTGCCACTGGCAAGAGGGAGACGGACGCCACCCCCAAGCGTGCAGCCTCACAGGGAGCAGGGACTGCTTACGGGTACATGTGGGCCTGTCCTCCGTCTGATCCAGTCAGATCATTAGTCCTTTCTCTAGGGAAGGGGCACTCTCTCCTCTCCCACCAACTTTTGAACTTGGGAATAGAAGCAGCAGAAGAAACCATACATGACAGTGAGGTAGCCACTAGCCTGGGGGATGGACTGATGCTGATTCAGTAGAGCAGTGATCCTCAGCCTGGCTGCATAGTGGCTCCACCAGAGGAGCTTGTTAAAAATATACCCACGTCCAGGTCCCACCGAGAACCACTTAATCAGAATCTCGCGGGGTGGAGCCCTGAGCAGCGTTCGTTAAAAGCTTCCTAGGTTGTTCTAAAGCGCAAGAACCATTCTTTTAGACTGAGAACCAAAAGGTGTTTCTACGATGTTTAACTCAGCTTGGGACATTTTAGATTTGAATTGCTTATGTCAAATTAATTAAAGTTCAGCCCCAAAGGAGAACATGAAAGGAAAGGTAAGAAGTCCCAAGGGCAGATTTCCAGGCAGCACCAGCGGAGATGAAGCCGGGTGTCGGAAGAATCGCAGTACCGGAAGAGGGTGACGACGCTGGGGCCCGGCAGGGACAGGGAGGGGGATAACCCAGAGAGTCTTGTAGAATGAGAGGTGCTAGAGGTCACCCGCACTGACAGTTGGGCTGTTGTCAAAATCACATTCTGTAAGGTGCTGGGGACAGACGTCCACGGGCAGCGTGTTAAGAAGTCAGAAAAAAAAAAAAAAAAAAAAAAAAAAAAAAAAAGAAGTCAGTAAAAGATGGGGATTTGGAGGTAAAAGTGTAAACTACTCTTTCATGAAATAAGATTTTTTAACTAACTGCTGGTTTGCTGTTTCCTTTTCTCCTTTATTTGTACATCTGTGGCTTCAAAATTTGAGTCCAGCTTTTTTAAAAAAATCACTTCCAGATCTTTTCTATTTACTAAGGAGGTTTCAGGTTATTGTGAATACAGATTATTTATACAGATAATGCCTCTCATCCAGTGAACCTGAGCATGATAAAAAGGTATGATTTCAGGTGAGAAATGCATTGCATGGGGGTTAATGGCAGCCATGCGGGAAAATTTGAAGTGCTTTCAGCATGAACCGCGAGACACTCAGACTCTGAGAAATCCGAGGGCTCTCAGGGCCAGAGCAGGACAGGCTCCTTCCCTTCTGCCGCAGACGAGAGGGCTCTTGGCGTTATGTTATTGGTGTTTACTGCTGTGTTCCCAGGACACGCAGCACTGCCTGGGAAACGGCAGGCACTCAGATGTGTCGAGGGTTGTTTTCTCATCTGTCTTGGGAACATCCACATCTTTTAAAATAATAGGACTTCCTTGGCAGTCTAGTGGTTAAGACTCTGTGCTTCCAATGCAGGGGACATGGGTTCGATCCCTGGTAGGGGACCTAAGATCCCACGTGCCACGTGGCCAAAAATAATAATAATAATAAAAAATATAAAATGCTAAGGTTGAAAAAATTAAAATAAAATAATAGGCTTTTCGTAGTTCTGTTTTACCCTCTGTCCATATATAACATTAGCTGGTACTGTCCTAAGGGCTTCATGTAATTCCTCATCACAACACTGTGAGGTCGTCTCCCCCAGTCCAAAGATGAGAGGCCAAGGTCACGCCGCTAGTGAGGGAAGAACCGGGATTTGGACCCAGCTACCGGGGTTCTCAGCACCCTGCAAGTGACATACATGCAGCTAGCTCATCCCGTGTCACCTTCAGGCTCCCATCTCCAGAAAGATTTGAAAGGATCTCTGGTTTTCACGTCTGTGACTTTTCAAAGCTACATCACCCTCCGGGATATAAAGAAGTACAGGTGACCCTTGAACAACAAGGGTTTGACCTGCACGGGTCCACTGATACATGGATTTTTTTTTTTTTTTCCCAGCAGTAGAGACTGCAGTACTACACGGCCCATGGTTGGTTGAACCTGCGGGTACAGAGGGGCCAACTATAAGTTACACACCGATTAACCCCCTGCAGTTCAAGGGTCAGCTGTCTTCTGAGAGACGTACAGATTTGTCACCACTAGTGAGTTTGCCAAACTCATGGAACTGTACACTTAAAATGGGTGTATCTTATTGTATATAACTCACGCCTCGAGAAAGCTGATTTTTTTAAATACTCTAATCGAAAAGTCAAACATGATTTCAAAAGCTTTAGAGAAGAACTGAAGTAGAGAAAGAAACAGTTATTAATCAGAGTTCAGTCTCTTCAAAAAAAGTTTTAATGGCTTTGTTTTCCAAGCTGTTTAAAAACCAAGTGTCATTTTACATTCATTGTCATCCCCAGGGAAAGGAAAGCCTCCTCAGCGCAAGGTAAAACCACCTAAAAAGCACGAGGAAAAGGAGAAGGGAAAGGGAAAGGCCCAGGAGGACGAGCTGAAGGACTCCCTGGCCGACGACGACAGCTCCTCCACCACCACAGAGACCTCCAACCCAGACACAGACCCGCTCCTCAAGGAGGTAGGACGGGCCCACAGAGCAGGGTTCACACACGGTGAACGTGCTGTGTTCAACACGCGCACACGTTCTGAGGGCTAGTGCTCAAGAGTGCACGGACACGCCCAGGCAGCCACTCCCCTGCAGAAGCTCCACAGCGCTGGGCGTGAGTGTCTTCACTCCC